AAAAAAAAACAATAGTAATAGAGCTTTTCACATTTCGAAGTTGAGAACAGAAAAATCTGACCTGGCTATTCTTCTCATTAGCAGCAGACAGCTCGCCGCGCAACTCTGAACCTTGGGCTTCAATGTCATCCAACTTTTTCTTTTGCTCGACTTCTCTAAACAATGTAAAGGGAAAAATTTGTCACAAGATAACAAGTACACTAAATACGCAATGAAGAATTTGCAAAAATATCGAAGGTGCACGTAAGCAGGGAAAATAAATCAGACACTCACACTGCATGCTGTGAATCAACCAGCTTCTGTTCTAGCTCTTGAATTTTCAAACTCATAGCTGTCAGCTGGTCTTCCGCTTTCTCCTTCTCGCCGTTCACAACATTTTTCTCAAACAAAGCCAGTATTAAGAAAAACGCAATGGAGAAAAACTCTACTCCAGTAAAAGTTATTGGAAAAGGGACTTGACTATTGAATGACTTTATAAAGTAATGCGTAAGATAAGCTGAAAATAGGTTTAAAAGACAACAAATTAATCCACCTCATTTAAGGATAGTAAGTGTACACAGAAGTATGTGTAGTCTGCCATCTCAATACACTTAATCTTTGATCCGTATGTTTTATATACTATAGATTTTTCAAGAATTGAGAAACGTATGATAAATGCGAAATTTTAGGAAGGTCTATCAAGCTCTTTAAGCTTTCTCCCTCTGGTCCACTCCCTAATCACTACCGCAACCAATTTTTGCTTAGCTTGAAACAAGATTTTACATAAAGACATCAAAAACTTACTTCCTGAAGAACACTCTCAAGCTCAGCATGCTTTGCAGATAACTCAGCGTTCAATTTGTTCACCTGAGCGTTGACTTCCTCAGATTTGGAATTGAGTCTGGAATATTGATGAATATTGATACCGGTCTAAACGTAGGAGTTAGAAGTCTAAACAGATGCTATGACAAGATAGAAAGCATCTATCACACCATCTACTGAAAAAAAAAACGCTGTAATGAAGAAAGCGCGCTCGCATATCAAAAAAAANNNAAAAAAAACCGAAATATTCAAAAAATGTAGACGAGATAGAAATGGATTTAAAAAAATTACAATTCAATCTCTCGATGTAACGATGCAGCCTCTTCAGATTTCGCTGTTATAGCTTTCTCCAATTCAGAATGCGTCTCGGCTTCTTTAACACGTACTTGCTCCAGCTACAAAACTGAATGCATTAGAAAATTAAATTTCTATTTCCAGTTATTTTTTGAAAATAGTGCAAGAGATCTTGACAAATATGAGCATGAAAGAGAAATGTTTCTTAGCACTACAATTAAAATATTATATTTTGCGTATCTGTGTGAATCACGGAATGCAGCATTACTTCAGTAATCACATGAAAAGTCGCGATCGAAATGGGTGTAGTATATACCACCATATTCACGCGGAATATGCGGAGCCTCGTCTACATAATGGGGCGCGCACTGTCAGCCCCTACCCTCCACCCAGGTGGCAAAAACGAATTCACCAGTGCAAGGAAGGCAAAGAAGTACCAGCCGCAGTTGGCAGTAAGCCCCGATCGGGTAACGCTAATTGAAAATACTATTCGAAAAAGGGCGAGCTCGAATGAAATATGCTGATCCTTCTATAAAGGGTACATTTCAACCTTCAACAATGCACTTCACTACTGATGGGTAGGAAAAATCGAGTGAAATTGGCTTTAAAAGTCAGAGAAAGGTGGTATCTCCCGACGCGGGAAGAGTCTGTACAAAATCCCGCAGTGACTAACATGGTTCAGGGTGGTGAGAATATTAGAAACTGAAAATGATGGTTCGTGGACTGCCTTCCACCATTCTAACTTTCATAGGTATTGATTCACATCAAAATTTTTGTTGAAAAAGTTTCAACGTTCAATGATTAACAACTTTGAGCGAATATAGACGCCGGAGGCGAAATTCCACAAAGCAGAGCTACTGATCCAAAGAGTCAATGCTTAGATATGGACACAGTAGAGTGTGATCATCGATCTAGCAGGCATGACATGCGCCAAGTGAAATTAAAGGAAAAAATGGCTGAAGAGTGGACGCGAACTTCAGCCAATTTTTTTGTCAAAATTGGTCGAAAAGAAAATCAAGGAAAGAATAGAATGGAAAAGAGAACTTCGGTTGAATGACAGATTCCTAAACTCCAAAAATGTAAACGGCAACTTTAGAAAAACACTCAAGGAGTGTTGCTTTGGAAAATACTTGTCTTAAAATCAAATAAAATATAAAATTGTTATCATTACCTCTCTTATAGCGTCATCCTTCTGTTTAACCAAATCGTTCGAACGCTCTTCCGATTCTTTCAGCTTGGCAGTGATCTCTGCATTTGCTGCTTCTGCAGACTGCAGTTTTGATTCAACACTAAAAAAGAACTCATATATTATACAAAATTTCAAACACCGTTACTAAATGAATGAATATAAGAATGGAGTGAGGTCTGGGTGGAGAAAGAACTATGAAGGAGAAGTGATTATGGCTTAACAGGACAGAATAAATAGTGGGACCCAACGGCGTTATGAGCGAAACTACTCAACATTCCAAGAAGCAAAGACAACCAACTCCGAACTGAATCCGTTTAGAACTTTGCTACATAGTCTAAAAGCAGCACCGCAACCTTATTGTCTCTGTCTCTATTAGGGGATTTAGCCGGTGAGGAGAAAGAGTCTTTAGGAAATATTGAGTCGCTGCTTTCTTGTTCAAATGTATTCCTTAAACAACTAATTCGAACCTCCCGTCCCCGTATAGTGCCGGATGCTGCATCGAATGGCTAAAAACTCTCAAAATAGTAGGTGCATATGTGCTGTCTCAAGTCTCAAGCGTGCACCATAGAAACTAGAAAACTATTCACAAAAGTTCATATTGAGAGTATTTTATGGAGGCAAAGATTCAACCAAAGTTACCTAGTAAGAACTTTTTTAGTGATAATGTGCGAGGTTCCGCGAATTACCTTTTCACTGTTTCCTGAAGTTTGTTGTTTTCAGCCAATCGTTCAGCGCATAGAGTTGTTACGCTGGCCAATTCTGTCGCCATAGCACTCTGATCCATGTTTGACGCATTTACCTAGAATCTGTGCATCAATATCCTTTGTGACGAAGTTAACACTTTCAAATGATAATTTATATGCTAAATAAACTTACAGTATTCTGCAGAGTATTCAGGGCGCTGGTCTGCTTCCGCAACTCCTCTTCAATCAAGGCTTTGCTTTCGACGACCAAATCATGTTCTTTTGTGGCAACATCAAGCTTTTCAACCAGCCTGAATAATTTTCCGTCGATAGCTTACGTCTTCGTCCATAAACAAGGTTTGAGAGAAAGGAAATCCAGAGGTTGATAGCAATGAAATTAGTAGGAGCTATACTCGGCAAGCAAAAGCAGACACAATCCCCGATACGCAAATTCATGTGAATTTTGAAAGTCTCGAATTGTGAGCAAGCAGCCCATGTCCTACAATTGAGGAAAAACTTTTGAAAATCGAATGAATTGGCGCTGAACACCAACACGGCGAAATGAATATCTGGATTGGGTCAGTTTGCGTTACCCTTCCATTGTGAAGCAGAAGCATGCAGAATGGGATGGTGTGTGCAATCTAATGCTCCGTTGGTAAAAGTTAGTAGGTTTTTAGGAGGTCCAATATGTTGACCGCGTAACTAGAAAAAGCGTGCCTTCTCGATATAGCATGAGCCCCTATTTTATTTCAACAGAAAATTTCCCCCTTAGCCCTCAGAGAAGGGTGTTGTCGGCAACAATGGGAGGTTGTTCTCTCTGGAGCTAAAGAAATTAGCGAGCAATCCCACACTCCATTCCCGCTTACTACGTTAACAAACCTGTTCCCCTAGCCTCCCTTTTGAACATAGGCACAGAACAGATATGGATAAGGACGCATAAATCAACAGCTAAAGCTGATAAATTTCTTACGTCTTCACTTCTTCTCCCAGACGCTTCAATTCCTGTTCCGCTTTTTGTAGTTCACTCTCTTTGTTCTTGAATCTGAAAAAAACTCCCTTACAACTGAAACAGTTGAAAACAGTTATTTCTGCAGAAAATTCTCATGATTGGAATGGTTATAGCCCCAAATGGATTAACCAGTCGCAAGAGCTCTTTCCTCGAACCTTTCCGTTCTTTCCACAGTATCGAATGATGAGAGCGTAATAACTTACTGCTCTTTCACGTCCAGATGATTTTTCTCAATCGTCGATATCTGCGATTCTAGAAGGCCACATTTTCCCAATAACTCATCGTGTGCTGCTTTTGCGGCCGTCAAGGCCGATATATGCTGAAAAAAAAACTAAATGAACCGAACGCGAAACCACCGTTCGATGACGGCAAAATCCTGATAACACTTAGTGGATAAGTCCCACATCGAGTTCCCCCAACCAAAACTTCCTTTCCTTGATTGCTTCTTTAGGACAAGATGCATCTAGAGGGGGGAACCACTGATTTGAAAAGCCGCTGCTGGTTAAAATGTTGGCAACGCCGCCAGCCCAATATCCCATTCTATGAATACAATCATTATGTTGGATAAAAGTGAAGAATGTCTCGAACTCTTGGATTAGGGCCAAGTAGCTCATCGCTTTGCTTTTAGGATAATGTTGCACTTAAGTACAAAAGCTCAATGGCCCATTGGGTCAGTTGACCTTTCGGGGCCTTCTTGACGAGTAGTAAACGATTACGATCAGATGCCTGATATTATCAAAGAAAAAAGGAGCGCAAGCACTCCGTTGTGATAAGCTCTGAGGACAAATCAATCAATGTAGCGAACAAAAATGCGAACGCATTCACAATGTTCGGCATTTAAATGGCTAACAAAAAAGGCATTCCGATAGAGGCCGCACCGACAGTCATTCAGCCAGCTCTCCCCCCTTTTCAACACCTACGATACAATTCCGGCTAGCTAACCCTTCGAAGGCTTTCAGCATATAAATACTCACCCATATTTTCTAACGATAAGATTGGAGATAACCAAAATTTTTTGAAGCTTTATCGCCTACTCCTCCATATAGATTTCCCGTTTCTTCCCGCCTACCTCAATGACCAATGCTTCAGGTTGTACCCACCTACGCGCACAATATAAAAAGTTGTAGCGAATCCTTCAAATCGAAGATTCTGTTCGCCAAATTGGGACCCGAATTTCAAAGGACCTCGATAATGATATGTAATTGTGCTAGTAACACAAGTTGCTTGAAATAGCAAGTTGACAGAGCAAATCCCTCACCTGCGCTTCGACGTCTTTCAGCTTGGCCTCCAACATCGAGCAACGACCTTCTGCCTCTTTAGTGGCGCTGTCACTGTTCTCTTTGATAGCTGCAAGCCTCGCTTCCAGCTCGATCTTTTCCGCTTTAAGCGATTCGCTTACAGTTCTAGCATCCTTAAGAGCTGCTTCGGCAGTTTCTTTCTCTACAGTGACCGACCTGATCTTCTCCAACTGCTCCTTGACGACTACCTCATTATTCTTTTGTTCCTCAAGCGAACGTTCGTTGACGGATGCGATCTCGCTCTTCAATGATTTTACTGTCTCTTCCATAATCGCTTTCTCCTCTCGCATTGCTTTCAGCTCGCCTTCCAACGTCGAGCAACGAATTTCTGCATCCTTAGCGACGCCGTCACTGTTCTCCTTTATAAGTGCTAGCCTCTGTTCCAGCTCATTCTTTTCAGTCGCCAGCGAATCACCTGCCTTTTTGGCATCCACAAGAGCTGCTTCAGCAGCTTCTTTCTCTACAGTAATCGATCTGATCTTCTCCAGCTGCTCCTTGACGACTGTCTCATTGTTCTTTTGTTCCTCGAGTACACGTTCGTTGATGGATGCAATCTCGTTCTTCAAAGTTTTCACTGTCTCTTCCATGATCGTTTTCTCTTTCGACATTGCTTTCAGCTCGGCTTCCAACGTTGAGCAACGATTTTCTGCATCTTTAGCGACGCCGTCACTGTTCTCCTCTATAAGTGCTAGCCTGCCTTCCAACTCGATTTTTTCGGCCTTCAGCGTCTCGCTTGTAGTTCTTGCGTCCAAAAGAGCGGCTTCTGCAGACTCTTTCTCTACAGTAACCAATCTAATCTTTTCCAAATGCTCCTTAACGGCTGCTTCATTATTCTTTTGTTCCTCGAGCAAACGTTCGTTGATGGATGCTTTCTCGCTCTTCAAGGTTTCCAGTGCCTCTTGCATCATCGATTTCTCTTGCTGTAGTGCTACCAGGGAGCCACTCGTTTCGGTCAGTTGTTTTTCTATGACTTTGAATTGTTCCTCCAAAGATTTCTTTTCTTGCTCCATCGCCTGCCAATCCTTCTTCTTAGTTTCCAATTCATTTTCAAGTGTTGTCAGCCGCTGTGTTAACGTTGCATCAGCTGACTCTTTGTTGTTCATCAAGTTCTCTACCAATTCCTTCTGTGTTTTCACATCACTGAGAGCTGACTGGAGTTCAGCTGAAACACTGAAAATCATTTTTCCTAAGTAAACAACAGCTTGATCATAAATAAAAACAATACATAAGTCGGAAAACGTAAAAGGATTTGATTCCTTTGCAGAGTTTTACGTCCGACATCCATTTAAAATCATAAAAAGAATGAATCTGTGTAGATATAAGACTAAGAAGATTCAGGGTGGCCAGCCAATGCTTTACTAAAAACCTTCTCCCGCATCTCTTTAGGTAGAAAAAAAAACCAACCTTTCATCTTCTCCAATTCCTTCTGAGCTGCTTGAAATGACTGCTCCGCTGCTTCCAACAGCTTACTCTTCTCTTCTATAGCAGCATTCGCTTCACCAAGATCCTTCTCTTTAGCCAAGCGCTCATGTGCAAGCAGGTCCTTAGTCTGAAATTGAATTTTGCATCCTGATATCGAAACTTTTCTAGATCTCTCAAAAGAAAGACAAAATCACTTTTCGCTACTTTGGGAAAGAATCACATTTTTCATTGCATCGTGTATTCATAGTGCAGTGGGAAGCAGCGCACTATCATACACACAGATTCTCGTGTTCGAACACCGTATCAATATTTCCAAATAAGCGCTAACACGGTTTACGATGTGTACTCCATGTGGTAGAGTGTGAAATCGTCTTGGAAATAGGCTTCATACCTCCGTACAAATATCCGTATGATGTTACTAAGAAGAATAAAGGGTATTCTACTCACACTGGATGGTGAATGATTCAGTTCAAATGTCTATAGGTGCCCGTATAGTACATTTGATTCGTAGATTGTCTACAAAGGTCACCTCACGTGGGCTTTAGTCAATTCAATAAAACTACGGCCCCATTCTCAGAGAACAGAAGAAAACAACAACCTCTAAAGCAATAATACGTATCAGAACTAATACTAAATCTATCCACTCAAAAAAGTGCTAAAAATAGTCGTCGTCCCAAAGGCATATGGTAGGGGGCGGTGGCCTTGTTTTATTACACCACATATTACGTTACACTAATGAACATTGCTTTACGACTTCTTACATTTTTCTTTTCAGTCTTTTTATCTCTCTTCTCAGCTTTCCTACTTTCATATATGTTATATCTTGTTCCAAATTTCAAAGCGATGCCACCAGGATTCCTTATCCCTCTAGAGGTAGAACAATTCAACAAACATTGTTATTTCCACTGAATAAACACGGAGAACATAGAAAATTCCTTACCACTCCAAACTCCGAACGTAATGCCTCCAGCAGGTTCTCTTTGGCCTTACTGTTCGCTTTTTCTGACTCCAGCGCGAGTTGATGTGCCTCTTTTTCTCGCTTCAGCTCTTCTTTGAGGCTTATAATCTCACTTGTTAGCGATGAATGAGTATCCAAAGATTCTTCAACCTCCTGGAATGATGAATTGAACATGGAGATTCATTCATGTATGGGTCACGTCAAAGATTCCCAACCATTTTGCGGGTATATTTGAGAATTGAGCCAACTACAAAACTTTCTGTAAGCCTTTGTCACAGTAAAGTAAAAAGGTGGCTCCACTGACCGAGTTGGGTACGAGCTGTTGCTTTAACTCCTGTACTTGACATTCCTTGGCTATTACTTCTTCTTCTAGGCGGAAGTTAAGGTCTTCAATAAGTTTGTCTTTTGCCAGCAATTCGTTTTCCAAAGCTTTCTTCTCCGTCTTCAATTTCGCGATCTAAAAACGGCACACTGTCGATTTAGCAAACATCTCAAAAGGAAAACGATTGAAACTGGTTGGGAAAATTTACAGTCAGTACGATAGATTTTGTCCAAGCTGTACGAAATCATCTGAATGAGAAAAACCTATCGAACCTTTTCTGCCTGATCACCATTTCCTATTTGACCGAACTCTGATCGCTCCATTTCACGTTCTCGCATGAGTTGTTCCAAATGACGTTCTTTTTCTTGGAGCGCTTCCTGAAAAATTCATCCTAAATGTTCCTTAAAACCGATATAATTATTGCTAGGCATACTTATTATGAGTTAGTATCACTATTTATCTATTTTTTGCCCTGCCTACTCTAAATCCATTCAAACACCAATGAAAGCTGAAACAAAAGTGAAACAACCATACCTGCAGCGCTTTGATCGTTGAGCTTTCCGAATAATGGCCTTGCTGCAAAAATAAAATCATCATATATGTAAAAAAAAACTATTTTTGTCTGTTATCTATCCTTTGGAAAGTTCAACAGCTCACATTTCTCCGCATAAGATGGAATAGCCTACATTTAGTGGAGGTTTCCGTACACAACCGAACCGCGAAGAAGCCACACTTGATCTTCCTATCGATGAAAGGGATTCACGACTTCCGCCCAAGCCACGGTTTTGTCTCAAGAGGGAAGTCTTCGTATGTACCACCTGCTACGAATGAATTGCACATCAGGACGGGCACAAAACAAGGCAAAATCAACTGACCTTCATTTTATTAGGCGTTTGAGAAGGTGCTTTTTGCGCTTTGGAGGCCGGCACGAAGACTCCGTATGGTGATTTACAAGTGAAGTATCTCTTACCCTTAAAGGAAGGCGAAGGATTCTATGAGTAGAAGCTAAAATTTGGGAACAGAGAATAAGGCAACTTACCTGCACACTTCCATCGTTCTTTCCCAAGGGCTGCTCCAGTTCAATACCTGCCCATATACCTTGAGCAAATTCTGTTTCGCCTATAAATCTCACCACACCTTGCTTGCCACCGGACACAACGACTCGATCGTCTATATCGAACCTAAGTAAAGTCGAACTTATAGCTCAATCCAAAAATTCTGAACTTAGAATTCGAAAAGGCCTTTAACTATTTTTTTTATCGTTAGGTCTTTAATGGGGAAGGTTCATAGTGTATTCTAGTATGATCACCTGGCAGAGAACTCAGTGGAAGAGATCGCGCAAGATTTCGCACAGTTTGGTAACCCTTTTCAGGACCACTGAGTAGCAGTGGTCAGAAGAACTCCTTGTTCCATTCTCTGTAACTCTAATCCCTCCCATTTATCAAGTCCTTCTCGAACTCTTTCCCTATCGAAGCTACTAATTCAGATAACGCTCTAGGAGTTGCTCCTCTTCCTTAACCATCATCTGTTGGTGCTCTTGGTGCTCATAACAAGGAGCACATATAGATCGACAACTATTCGGACACTTTTTCCATCACTTTTTTTCGAAATAGCAAAGGTGAGCCGATGAAAAGGATGAGATGCAGTGAGGCCACTGACCCTGACCGAAACAAGTGCCGTCTCTCGCAGGTCGTATTCAATACGGTAGCGAGTCGAGAAGCAGGCTTGACAGCTATGCTTAACAACCAATCAGGCTTTGAACGCCCCTTCAACTATCAAAAGGATGATAGAAAATGAACAAGAAGTCAAAAAACTATGGAGGAGGGCCGTCCATCGATAGGGAGAAGCAATATTATGAGTTTATCGTTCCCCTACGATCCCCTCTTCAACAAAAAATAGCTGCCTTTGGCTCGAAAATCGGAGACATTCCAGCGGGGATTCGCAGCACTTGCGACAAGTGGGAAGAAGGTAAACAAAAACCAAAGATGACACTTCCGACCAGTATTGATTGAAAGCTATACATCAATGCTGATGATTTTAGTTTGCGACAGTTCAGTCCCTAATGCTTTGGGGGAACCACTGAAGGGGCTCATCTGAACCACGACAGAATGGATTTAACCACAAAGGACTAATCGTGAAAGGCTATGAAATGAAAATTAAGTTGTTTCGAACATTCCCTTATTACTTACGCTTATTAGGTGATTTTGACAGATTGTAAGAGGATGAACGGTTGGTACAAAAAGGGTACAACAAGACGGCTCATTTGGTGCCCCCCATAAAACCCTTCCTGACACATTCTACTCGTTTAAAAGTGCTCCANAATGAAAATTAAGTTGTTTCGAACATTCCCTTATTACTTACGGTTATTAGGTGATTTTGACAGATTGTAAGGGGATGAACGGTTGGTACAAAAAGGGTATAACAAGACGGCTCATTTGGTGCCCCCCATAAAACCCTTCCTGACACATTCTACTCGTTTAAAAGTGCTCCAGCCAGAATAGTTTTTAATTCTGAACGCTGTCGGGATTTTTGTTGCCTTATTTATTCATTAACTCTGCTTTTATTAGCGTCGTTTTACGAAATTCTACACCCTAGAATTCCGTATTAGCTTCTTTGCTCCGGATAGAGTTGACTGAAGGACAGCTGCCGCATCCTTTCTCTTTTGGGTTTTACTTTTTGCATCTGGAATTTCCAAATCCAAACCAGTTTCGCCAAATCAGAGTCTGGCTGCCCGATTTCCCAAAAAATTGCGTTAAGAACTACGAACCATCGCTTCCAGAGACACAATACAGCCACTCTTCTAATCTATATAGCATTGACCGTGAGAGAAAAAAGAATTATGGGCTTTTGTATCGTAAAAACCTCCCATCAAAGACCGTGATAGACATTTTTTGACACGACAGTTCCACCCGTGGCCACACCACAGGTAATAAAGATGCAATTAAAGAGCTTCTCCAACAATACAAATCAGATTTTATAGGTGGGCAAGGATCGAACACAACCCTGTGAACTTACCCATACTCAGCAGCATAAGGGCTTTTCGGTTCGCCTTCTCCTGGTGCCGGAGAGGTGAATCGTGCTGGTGAGAGCATTATCCGGTCCAATTTGCTAGATTTACAGAACAACCCGTGATCTGGTGTGCACTGAAAGTGAGAAACTAGTCATTTTTGTATAATATCAGTATTATTTCACATATAACATAACTATTTCAACATTGAGAGAAACTTTTGAGAACGATAAGAGAACTAGGATGTTTTAGGACTACTGCTATTCGACGAAGGTTGGAACAGCTCAGTTTTTGACAGCGCCAGCTGCTCCACCTAAATGCAAGGCAGATTGCAGGATCTGGACCTTGCATAAAATTAATAGGATATTCCGTAGAGGTAAGCGACCTCAATCAAGCTTTTTTTGCAAACGAAGAAACGGAAGTTTACACCTGAACAGATACAAGCAGAAATCGAATAAGCGTGATATACCGCCCCCTTTCATAATAACATCGCTGTAAAGTAAGGGTAATTGTAAAGCAAAAGCATGCAGAAAACGCTATCCTTGCATCTAAGAACTGCAATAATAGATTACATAAGCTAGTGATAAGATCAAGCGGAAAAGAATTATAAGAGATTGAAGAAACTGTGGTACAAATCCCATTGCTAGGTAAGATCATGTGAGTTAACCCTGCGTCATTGAACAGCGGAACAGAGGCCGTCTTGGTTTCCTCCTATCTCAACTGCATTTTGACGACTTATGTGCTATCGATAAAGGCGACGCAAAAAGAGTAACGAAGCAAAGCACTTTTGAATAACAAACAGCACGATTTTATGGGAAACTAGCAACTAGAGACGTGAAAAAGTTGACCGGTTCCCACAACGATTTCCTATTAGTTGCACTCAATCTCAAAGCTGATGCGGAACGTGCGGAAAATGAACGTTAAAGAAGACAATAAGCATAGGCATTAGCACTAATAAAACCAGCACTTTTAAGCAATACTTTCGAAAACTCCCAACTTAAGTAGAATATGCCAAAAGGTAAGAGTGGTTAAGATTAACTCACGGTAAAATATCGATATCCTTGTACTGATCCATCATTTTTCCCTAAAGGATCGTCCAACACAAGTCCGATCCATTCACCGGGAGCAAATTTAGTCGGTCCAACATATGCTACTGTGCCACTGCGCTGATCAATTCGAGCACGATCGCCAACCTAAATTAGAACTCAATAACAATACTACTGCCATAATACATATTAGGTGATGACTCAAATAATGACTACCTTTGATACATGTTATTCAAAACATATATATTTATTTATAAACTGAAACAGAATACAGCTAGCTGATATCCGTTCTGTTAGAACCATCAGAACTCGCAAAATTTATTACCCCACAAAAAACCGCCCAGCTGAACAGCTTGGTGCCTCGATGTCTCTTTCCGCCACTCATTCTCAAGCTTATCACTGAGTTCAAACGTTGATCCGAAAATAAACCCCCTCGGTAGAACAAAGGAGACTTGTCTGAAAGTGCAGTGTCTCAGCGAAAGAAAACTTTCTGTGTACATACGACATTTAGTTCCAAGCAAAAAATTTTCCCATGAAATCTCCATACAAAGTTTAATGCCTCTTTTTCTGCAACTGATTTGGGAAAGGTTCTCACTCTACCTTCAATTTCTAGGACCTAAATATAATATTTGCAGAGGAGGCTCACCTTTAGTTTCCTGTTACCTCGGCGACGCCGCATAGAGCGGGATGCATTCGATTACAGATTACGGAATAAAACGCTGGGCGTGGGCCAGTTCTTATGGAGGTTGGGCTCAGTATCGTAGCAACATTTGAAGGATCGTTTGGTTCATATGTTTTGAGGAAGGAAGGTGAGCGAGCACAAAAGGAGTTGCAGATGGGTGCTTCAGGTGGACCTCAGGCCTATAATTCAATCACAACCTATTGACTCCAGAGACGAAATGTTTTCTTCTGTTTACTCCAGAGAAAGAATTTGGTTCCACGATAATGTGGTTCGTATCACCAACCCATAATAGAGGTCGAAAATGCACTACAATCGATGCTAGTCGTGAAGCAACATAGAAGTGATTATGCATGACTGGGCTTCGACGAGCACTTCAGTGTAGGAATGACCATAACAGCTACCCCACGACTTAAGTGGTCATGATTAAAGTTGGTCTGATTTTTTGTGATCTAATATTAGGTTTTAGGTTCAGATTTGAAGAATTAAGAACCTCTAGCTCGCTCAAGAAAAGAAAGAACCTCTAGCTCGCTCCCTCTCCTCAACACATATGACCAAAGACTTTTCAAATGTCATCCTTAACTTTGAACAGAGAGAAAGTAGTTGAAAAACTACGTCGAATTTCTCCTTGGATCGTGAGCGTTCAGATAAGTTCTAATCAATAAACGATACCTGTTTCAAACCGTCATTATTTACCGTAGAATTTATTTATGTAATTTATTAAAATGTCGGCAACGACATGGGCCATAAATCGTGAACATATCAAAACGAACAATATGGAAACAAAAAAAAANNNAAAAAAAAAGAATAAAATTCCCAAACGTAAGTAAAACAGTACCTGCCACGTTCCGACACCACTGACACATGATGTTAGTGATAGAATGGATTCTTTGCTGTCAGACTTTTGCAGCCGTGAATTCGACGCCATGGTGAGAATGCGATGTTAGTCGTCGAAAAGCTCCTATTCATGTACAAAATCCACTCTGAAATAGGAACTACTGCGGGAAAGCGTCCACTTGAAAATAGCCAGAACCAACTGAGAGAGACAAGACGTTCGTTGGCTTTGTTTTTAGACAGCGCACGGCGATTTTAATCGTACAACTCCACCGCAGCGAAAATACTCATGCAATATTTAAAATTACACTCGAATGTGCGACGTTGTGTGATTGTACTACTAGTTCTTTTTGTAGAATGTTAAGGTCGGAACATAAGAAAGGGAGTAGGCGAGCAAACGATTATAACGGGATATCGTGAGTGAGAAGCGGAAAGTGGCCCTTAAATGGCACATTTTGGACGCAATGAATGAAGTATAAGGGCTTCGAAAGACATCATTTAGGATGTCCCGTCGACATTTCCAAGAATACAGTACACGAGAGCTACGTATTTGTCTATTTGTTGACTGCCATAAACCGAAAAACCGCAAAGTACAGTAATGAGTCACTGACTTCGTTTATTTTGGGTCTTATCAATTACCTAAGGAGATATTTACATAAAGTAGCCTATTAAAGTAAAATCAGCTTCGGGAGCAGACTGATTCCCGATGAGTATCAGAACTCTGCGGATTCGTTTTTCATTGAAAGACGATGATGCCCTCCTCCGCTTTAAAATGCGACGAAACGTTTTCCACATTATGTCACAAATAGAACACTCAGATGACAATCGTAACGACCACAAGAAAACAGACGCCAAGGTAGCTTGACTGAGAACGTTGTACAACCTGCAACCTTCAGCTGAAAGTGTAAATTTTTGATGTTTGAAACACCGGAATTCGATCTTATCCTCACAGTGTTGGCGAGTTATGGACAAAACTTCTGCCTCGGACGGGACTCGAACCCGTACTTGTGCTATTCGGCCCCGTGCTTTTATCCATTACACTACCGAGATCCTGTTTGCCCCCACCTTCTTAATGGCTTTTATGTCATGACTTTGTGCTGCGGCGAAGTAACCGCAGCTAACAAAAATTTCAAGTAAAAACATGTTATGACAAGTAAAGTTTACAGCTTAACCGTTCAGTGCTGATAAGCTATGGTATAAAAGCCATTGAGAAGGCGAGGGCAAGCGGGGTCTCGGTAGTGTAAGGGAGAGAACACGATGTCCGGACAGCACAAGGACGGGTATGTGTCCCGTCCGAGACTGAAGTTCTGTCCATAAATCGCCAACCTTGTGAGACTTTTGGAACGCATAGCGCGGCGATATAATAGTAGTTAACAAAACATCAAGTCAAACATTCAATATCGAGCTTATCCATTTGACATAACAGAAGTTTGACCCTTGCTTGAATTAATTATCGTTATGAAAATAGAGTTCAAGTTGTTACAATTTTATCGAAACTCAATCATAGCATGCGTAAAATATTGGACGTGCTATTGTACTCGGCGGATCAAGGTGTTATGTCATCCAAAAAACGTATAAATGTGATAATCGGATTGAAAGTTTGAAAAAACATCCAGAAGGCCTAAAGTATAAAAGCACAGATCCTTTTGAATTTAGCGCAGTTGTAAAAAAAGTAACGAAGAAAAGCGGCAAGCAAACTCGAGACTACCTTCTGTTTTCCTTTTTAACTTCCTGATGTGGACTTAAAAGTGACGAAACAAGCAGCACTTTAGATTTACTTGAACGAATGAACTATCAGTTTTGACGGACCAAAAGTAAATAAAGTCACAGCAGTTGGATGAAATGAAATGGTTAATGCCTTGGAAGAATGGAAGATGAAAGGGAAACGAAACGAAAGTTTTTGGAGAGCTGTTTTCAGGAATGCGCACGGCAATGTCGTTTTTTACTTTTATTGCGTTCACTGTTTATGTGATTTAGCCCATTAAACCAAACAGCTAAATGGAAAAAAATACATAAAATCCACTTTCCTAGAGTCCAAATTCTGATGCAAAACTACTAAACTAAACCAAAAATAGTAGCAATAGTTTAGTAAACAATTCAAAGTTCTAACAAATACAGTTCCGCCAGTCGCGGCACGTTTAAAGACCAGAGCGCACCAGACGAAGATTGTAAAGAGAGCGAATGTTTCGCGCTCAAATTTTTTACCGTATCCCTTAGAATCTGTGAGTAAGAGTGCAAGGAATAAATAGAACCAAATCAATATAAACCGATTAGATGAAAATGGAAAAACGAAAAGTCAATAAACCCGTACAGCCCTCCCACGACAAAGTGAGAAAAGAACGAATATTTATTCCACGTACACGTTGCATTATTGCATTATATTACGGCTAGTCGACACATGGCACGTATCAACCGCAACACACATTGTTCCAAATATTTTACGGCTACAATTACGATGGGAGTTGAGACAAGGAGGAATAAATAACAGTTTTTGCTGGGTGTGGTGCGATTTGTGCGATTCTGGGTGCGCGCGGCAAATTGCGCGACGAAATTCGGTGCGTTTTGAACGTCTGCAGTGTTTATCACTGGG